GAAACGACGTCTTTGTGCTCCTGCTGAGGGAGGGGAGATCCCCATTGGATCAAGTTTCTCCCTCGCCACACAGTACCGGGAATTCTGAGGAAAAAGCAAGTGGTATACGTAAGACTTACTAACTGACAACTGACAGCGAGTGGCATCGTTCCGCTCATGTGGTGGTGACTGGCCTCTGAGGACGACGATCCTGTCGAAACGTCAGGCCATTTATAATAAAGTCTTCCACCTACCAACCTCTTTGGCAGAACAAATTACAACTTAAACATATCAATAATGCCGAGGTTTTATGAAGAGAGAAGCTGGACACAATTACGACCAACAAGGAATAACACGCTGTTTTGGTCTAAGTTGGTCGGGGCGGTATTGCGAAGTGGGCGGGATCTCCACAGTCACTAGCTGCCTTAGATACTATTCGCATGGGTAAGATGCAAAAACGAAGGACTTTAAGCCGAGTGTTGCTCTAGTAATCTCAGTTGAACGAGTTGATCCCATTTATTCAGGAAAGAACGCTATGCCAAATTTGATGGCAGTGAATCCTGCTGCAGCACAGGCTAAGCCCAAAGTTCAAGTCAGCTCTATTTCCTATGATCTTTTTATCACCTCATATTTTATCCGGTTTTCCAGGTTGCAAAGAAGGCCAACATTCTCAACCAACTCGCTCCCACTGCGTAAGTGTTATATTCGGAGAATTTTTCCAAATTGGATGTGCCAGGCAATGAATTTCTCCTAATTTTCAGCGCGGAAACAGCCCCACAACGATCTTCTCACTCGGAGCAAACGTCACCTCAAGTGTGAGTAAGCCAAGATGCTTATCAGTTTCCTTAGGAAGCTTTCCTGGATAGGTGTAGTGCTTAAAGTTTCTGCTGTGAAGATCTGCTCCGCCATCACCACGACATCAACAACAACGACCGCCAGTGGTCGACGATGACATGGGTATCGTGGTCACGAGCCAGGTGGGTTATAATGGTTTCAGGTAAAATAAGAAGTGAGATTAGCATTTCACAAATGGATGGGCGGAGACTCACAACCACAGTGTCTACCTTATTGGTGCGCTCTTCCCTCTGATACGGTTGAGAAGTAGTGCGCCAATGAGGGAGGGATACAGGCGATAAGAAAACTCCCATGTTCACACCCATCTCATCGCCGCGGAATGTGTCTTCAAGTTCCATTTCAGTCCATCGTGAAAAACTGAAGTTATTGTGGTCAGTTTCAGATGCGACAGCGATCACCGCCGCCCTCCCATCAGTACCAGGAACGGCCGCGAAGTCCCGAACGAAACCAGAAGGTACCAAAGCAGCAGGTGAGACACCCTTCAGTGACTTCATGGATATTTGAAATCTGAAGGGTTTTCAGGTGAATCTCCGGTCCCGTGCCGACAGGGATATGGGAGGCGGTGCACAAACCGCAGGGCAAAGGCGAGCTGCAGCTGAGCTTGAGAGGATCAAGAGAGATCAGGTAGGTCACCTGAAACATCTCAGAACATGCAAGTGCAGAACGATTTGAGACTGAACTTTAGGCTCGTACAGCTGATCCTGACGACTATATGCCTTCACCAACAATGGCTCAGCCCAGCCCCTCTCCACGGATGAGCGTCGGCAGCATGGAGGTAGGCTACTGCCTTGTTTACCAAGCTTTAGTTCCACTTACTCTCTCTTAACGTACTTTACTTACATTACTTTTTCCTTCCATCTCTACCCCACGTCCTAGAGATTTCTTCCCAAAGGCATATCCCGCTATAAACGGAGGGTCTAAGGCGCGTTACACCAAACAACCTCGTGAGACACATAATAACCGAAACACATAAATCATTGTGGTTTCCTCACGGTGTCCATCTCCCTAATACGGTGGGAAGCATTAGCTCACCCATAAGAAAGGCGTAATGGTTGGTGTCTCCGCCCGACCATCAAATGGATTATCGCGGAATGTGCTGTCAGACATCAGGCCGCGTTTATACTTTACGACTAAAGGGATCTGGCGATTTGGGAGCCTCGGAGGTTTGAGAGAATGCGCGACGAGGGAAGAATATGTATTGATCTAGCGACTGCGGGAGTATAGAGTATTGATCGAGCGACTGCGGGAATTGAGCGATCCGGCGAATTGGGAGACTCGGCGTTTCCGGCGATTGCGCGACAAATGAGTGGATGGGTATCGATCGGCTAGCGAGAGCGCAGATTCGACGACCCCGCGATCTCCGGAAACACCGGATCGCCAAGTCTCTCAGTTCGCCGGATCCCTCAAGCTCTCAGATCGCCGAGTCTCCGCAATCGCTAACGACCGGCGCCGATTGATACCCATTCACTCCTTCAGCGTGTAATCGCCAGAAACGCGAGTCTTTAATTTGTCGGATCGCTCAATTCCCGCAGTGGCCAGATCAATACCTATACCTTTCTCATCAAGCAATCTCTCAAATCGCCGAATCTCCCAGTTCGTCGAGTTCGCGAATTATGAACGCAGCTCTATCGTTTTTCTGATTGATGTGAACCGCTTTTTCTTCCAGTTTACCAAGCTTAACACCAAAAAGAAAATCTTCCCCTCGAAAAAACCCCCACTGTTGTTCCCTATCGCAAGTAACAATCTATAGCTGAACTAAATTCAATATTTTCAATTGTCCAGGAACATCATTTGTACTTTACTCACAACAAGCAGCCTACCGTAATCCGTCAGGATTACTCAGTGGTCTCATTAAGAAAATTCATGCTGAAATGGTGCTTGTGCTGAAACTTTAAATACCAACATCGGCTGCCACGCATGGTTGACCCTTCAGTTCATCGTTGAAGGGTCAACTTTGCACCCATTGGGACTTCAAAATGGGTATCTAGTTTATATAGTAGGTTATGGGGGTTGACCAATATTCATGTTAGTGCTTTATCCTTCCAGAGCTATGTGCTACCAATTTACGGACATCCGAGGGGTTGGCTTGGATCGAGGATTCGAACCATCCGTCAAGTGAACCTAAGACGGCGCCTGTAGCCATTGCGCTCAAGCGCCTTTATTCATTCATTTTCCTCTGGCAGGAGTATGTCATTTAATCATTTGTATCTTTCTAGGGCCCGACGAACATGGAGGAACTGTTGTCCGATTTGGCAAAGATGAAAGCCGTTATGCGACAACATGAGAGGAGAATTCGTATATTGGAAGAGGAACTAGCCGAGAAAAATATGAGCATTGCGTATTCATTTTGATCAAAACACCCATAATCTATGTAAAAAATCCCAGTGCCTTACACTGCGGACATACTTTGACGCGGCAATTCCCTCAACCTACAAAAAATGCGTATTGATTATAGTGATGACATGATCGATACGCATGATGAGCATTGTGGTGTGGTGTCGTGACGAAGGATGTCCGTCGTGGCGTACAGTGGGCAGTGTTTTCTTTCTTCAAGTGGTGAATACACTGCGCAGATGCTCAATCTCACAGCCTTATTATGTTTTTACAGAGGTGCTAATTGTGTACAGTACAGTGTAATAATGCTGATATGTATCATTATGTCTTGGAGAGTATTGAATAGATAAATGATATTGGTTTCTTGCCCGACGAATTTTGACGCGGAATTGAAATGCTAACCCACGAATTCAGTTAGGCTGCGTCCAGACTTCTGTAGACGCGTCGTCGCAACGTGTGAACGCAAGCTACTTCGAATGAAAAAAATGTCAAATTGCAATCGAGTCATATGAGGCAGGGCACGCCATCGTTGTGATGATCAAAACGGGAAGGAGTCTTATTTGGTCTGAGAAAAATTTTTTTGGTAGTGCCAGATGATTTCCTCGTTTCACGGACGGCTATAAAGGGGGGGGGGGGTTGGACTCTGTGAGAGAAGGCTGGCACAGAGGATTTGCAACTACTATTTCGGACAGTGCAAAATGACTTAGGTAGAATCCTAAGACATTCCCCCTCACCTTGGAGGTAAGTACTTGGCTGAAAAACTGGAAATTTTTTTGGAAAAAGTGGTAGCAAGTAGGGAAAATTTAGGAAAGTGGTAGGTAGCATGGGGATGGGGGTCGTATTTGAGGATGGAATTAGGGGGGGGTCGTATTCTTCAAGAAATGATCACAACGCGATGGCGTGCGCTGATGAGGTCAGCTACAAGAGGTCGAGCTCATCGATTGCGACAATAAAGAATTGACGAAATGAAGAAATGCAGTGTTGAAGAATTGACGAAAACGATTGGATACGTATCGATCTGAAGAACTGCAGAAATGGAGAATTGCAGAATTGAAGGAATGAGCAATCGGCGAGTTCTGGAGAAAAGAATCGAAACATGTTTGGTCTCTCTCGCCATCTCTTCAAGTCTGCATTTTTCTTGGTCCATTCTTGCTGTTGCGAGGTACGAGCGCGGCTTAAAGGCAGTTGGCACGATAATTTGGTACTCACCTAAAATGCTAGTAGGGCGCTATATAGTGGGGAAATGGCGAAAGAACGGAGTGAAACGGTCAAAATCCTGCGAAGAAAAAGCCTCCGTTCTCAGTGACTTAAAAATCAATTTCGGACGAGTTTCCCGTAGGCATCTTGCCAATAACCGCTACCGAAGATACGGCTGCATATGTGTACTCATATATCCATGCAGCATCACGGCCGCTTCATACCAATCCCTTCGCTTCATAATTTGCTTAGCAAATGAATCAATACGAGCGTCAGGAACGGTCGTCCATTTGTGGGCGGGCGGGCGTGGTGGGCGTTCGGGTCGGTATGTTGTGGCTTGATAGGGCCCTTATAAGGGCACCTTCCTTGGAAAAGGCTATGCAGCGCCTGCTCAGGGTCGCGGAATTCCGTCCTGCCAGGCGTATTAATCCTACTCGTCTTGGGGATTTATCGTGCCAACTGCCTTTAACCGTTGAGCTAAGGTGACACAACCGAAGCAGCCTTATTCCCGAAATTTTATTTAAGGGTCCGTATGCCAATCCGAAAACCTCTATACCTTCACATGGATAGGTGCGCAGCAGATATGGAAGATGGCTTCGTAATCATCGTCCAAAGAAGTAGTCGGTATGCATCTCATTTCAATTTGCCACTTCGATTTATGACCCTTTCCTGGTTGATTTTGAGAGCATGGCAGTAAGGTGCAGTAGAACAAAGTGGAAACGTGTGCTATGCTGACGAAAAACTTTTCCTCAACAATCATTGAGACACAAAAATCGCGTTTCTCTCCGCCCTTAGATAAATGGCCTAAATCTAGGCAAGCAGTGCGCAGATTCGCGAACGCGCAAGAGAGATCACTGAGATCGCTTGCTAGAAAACACCGTGTTGAAGCCACCGATTTCAGCAGAAACTGAAGGAGAATTATGAAAAGACTTCGCACGCATCCAAATTTTTCCACGATTCTGAAAAGGAATTGAATCCAAGAGGTGGTTATCAGCTGCTTGGAGTTCTCCACACAAGAGACTATTCAAATCCACTTCCCACAGAGCGGAAAAATTCAAACTCTCCCGA